GGATGAAGTTGGAGCCATCTGTGGGCCAGCATTTGGCTTAAGCCGGTAGGAGACTTGGACCTGCCTCGCATGGGCCAGTAGGCCTTCTGCAGTGTTCCTTCGTTCTTATGTTCTTATGTTCTTAACTGACTTTATCTCGTTGACATCATTATGCTGAACGAATGTGTTCCATACTCGAGTCATCCTGGGTATGTATGATCTCAGATGGAGTGATGTTCTGGAGAAGGGTACAGCCAGAGTGAAGTTGCTGCTTTCTGCCCGTCTTGTGGCATAAAAGCTTGTTTCACGCTGTCCTCGAAGTGGATCCAAGTGTGGTATTTTGACAATATTGGCCTTGTACATAACAGTAAGGCCACCCACATCCCTCCTACATCCATCCCTATACATATGTATAATATAATTAAAATGTCTTAATCAGTTAGTTATTTGCGTTCAGTTAAATTATCATAGTATAAGTAATACAAAAATAATTATGTTTTTACTTCAGTAATGGTGAGTTATTTTATAAGTATTTCATCCTAATATGAATGTGAATTAAATGTTCATGAAGAACAATTGAAAAATAATGAGGTGAACATTGTATTCTGTATATTTAGAATGTCATACTTATATTTGTATAACAGCAAATGTTTAAATAATCAGAAAAACAACTCAAGTTTTATTATGCACGGACGCTGGGTTCCCATGCCATGAGTGTGTAGTAAGTGACCGGGAGTTGTCCTGTCCTTCCCTATTCCCTGATCGTGTTTAAGGTCCGTGCTCCAGTATCTTGCCCTGAGGACCAGGTGTCAACACATTTGGAAAGGCCTCGCCAATATCACCTTTCCATTAAGGGGAAACTAGAACACGTGCACCAAAGCCTTTTCAACCCCAGGAGGAGACTCATCCAGGTGAAGATGATAGACCCATTCTCCGTGGAGTCTCGTTCGTCAGGAAGAGACGCCAATTGGAGGAATTCCCTCAGACGCGGATGACACCCTCATTGGAACTTTCTGTTCCACCTTAAAAATATCACATTCTAATGTGTGAGAAACGCCAAGATAAGGAAAGATCTCACAAATATTACTCGTGAAGCTTATTACTGACAGCGTTCATCAGAGAGATTTGTTGATAAATTAGACACATGTGCAACTCTTGGGTATCTTTATTGAGGAAACGTTTCGCCACACAGTGGCTTCATCAGTCCATACAAAGGAGAATCTTGAAGAACAGGAGGAGAATGAGGTAATCAGTCCCTCAACCTTGAGTCGATGTGGTCAGTCCATCAATCTTGAATAGAATACGGCATACGTGCTGAGAAGGAGCTTATAAACCGTTGGCAGGAGAGGTGAAGCAGTCATAGGTCGTGTAACATTTGTTCAATGTTGAAGTAGGTCGTGCCCAAGAATTAGGCAAGCGAAGAATTCCCAAGTATTAAGATCCCAAGAAGTTGCAGTGTCTGACAGGTTTGTAGATGAATGGTTCTTCGCTTGCCTAATTCTTGGGCACGACCTACTTCAACATTGAACAAATGTTACACGACCTATGACTGCTTCACCTCTCCTGCCAACGGTTTATAAGCTCCTTCTCAGCACGTATGCCGTATTCTATTCAAGATTGATGGACTGACCACATCGACTCAAGGTTGAGGGACTGATTACCTCATTCTCCTCCTGTTCTTCAAGATTCTCCTTTGTATGGACTGATGAAGCCACTGTGTGGCGAAACGTTTCCTCAATAAAGATACCCAAGAGTTGCACATGTGTCTAATTTATCAACATGTCGGTTCTCTGAACCATTCATCTACAGAGAGATTTGTGTAAGGCTTGCTCTGGTAATTAAGATCAAACTAGCCCTCTGTATTATTTTAGTGGTTATTGCAGTATGTAATATTCGTGTCAAGTGAGCTTCTTCGTACACATGAAGGCAGGCCCCTGGCTACCTTCAAGAGGGAGCTGGACAGATACCTAAAGTCAGTGCCGGATCAGCCGGGCTGTGGTTCATACGTTGGACTACGTGCGGCCAGCAGTAACAGCCTGGTTGATCAGGCCTGATCCACCGGGAGGCCTGGTCGTGGACCGGGCCGCGGGGGTGTTGATCCCCGGAATAACCTCCAGGTAGACTCCAGGTGGTCGTCACGGGGAGAAAGCCACGCTTAACAGCCGCTGAGCTGTCACTCTGCCTGGACCTGGTGATCCAGCCTCTTAGTGGGTCTGAAAAGTTACGGGCGATTTTGTTGTTTCACACACACACACACACAGGCCTGGTCACAGACCGGGCCGCGGGGGCGTTGACCCCCGAAACTCTCTCCAGGTAAACTCCAGGTAAACACACACACACACACCACACACACACACACCACACACACACACACACAAAACACACACACACACACACACACACACACACACACACACACACACACACACACACTCACGCACACACTAAACCTACAACCACAAAAAAACAGGAGAAACTCAAAATGGTGTTTTGTTTTGTATGATTTTCGACTATTTTTCAGGGGTGGGAAGGATGACGTCACCGCAGCCATCCCCGAGTCGACTAAGCAAATACACAGCGATGGGTCACCGTAAGTCACCTCACGGGAACACCACCCTTGTGCACCCCTGCTTTAATGCTCACTGTGCTCTATGCTCACCTAATCCACCAGCACAAAGTGTTCACGCCACCAGAACATCACCCTTGTGCACCCCTGCTTTAATGCTCACTATGCTCCGTGCTTAAACCACCAGTGTTCATGCTCTTCCTCACTCTTCTGCTGGTATAATTTGCAAGTACGTATGTGCTGAAGAATGCGCACACATGAAAGGGCACATGTGCGTATTTACGTGTCTGTATGTCTGCCCCTTCCTCACACACACACACACACACACACACACACACATGAGGCCAGGAGCTAAGACTCGACCACTTCAACCACACACAGGTGAGTACATGGGCAGGAAAAACAACAAAATCTGCAAAATTTCAATATTAAAATTAGGAAAATTAGAAATTTAAAAAGTTTTTTTTATGGCTTCAGCCTAACTGAAGGTAATAATAACTGTAGAACTTAGTGAAAGTAATAATAACTGTAGAACTTAATAACTGAAGGTAATAATAACTGTAGAACTTAGTGAAAGTAATAATAACTGTAGAACTTAATAACTGAAGGTAATAATAACTGTAGAACTTAGTGAAAGTAATAATAACTGTAGAACTTAGTGAAAGTAGTAATAACTGTAGAACTTAATAACTGAAGGTAATAATATCTGCAGAACTTAATAACTGAAGGTAATAATAACTGTAGAACTTAATAACTGAAGGTAATAATAACTGTAGAACTTAGTGAAAGTAATAATAACTGTAGAACTTAGTGAAAGTAATAATAACTGTAGAACTTAGTGAAAGTAGTAATAACTGTAGAACTTAATAACTGAAGGTAATAATAACTGTAGAACTTAATAACTGAAGGTAATAATAACTGTAGAACTTAATAACTGAAGGTAATAATAACTGTAGAACTTAATAACTGAAGGTAATAATAAAATGAAGAACTTAATAACTGAAGGTAATAATAACTGTAGAACTTAATAAATGAAGGTAATAATAACTGTAGAACTTAATAAATGAAGGTAATAATAACTGTAGAACTTAATAACTGAAGGTAATAATAACTGAAGAACTTAATAACTGAAGGTAATAATAACTGTAGAACTTAATAAATGAAGGTAATAATAACTGTAGAACTTAATAAATGAAGGTAATAATAACTGAAGAACTTAATAATGAAGGTAATAATAACTGTAGAACTTAATAATGAAGGTAATAATAACTGTAGAACTTAATAACTGAAGGTAATAATAACTGAAGAACTTAATAACTGAAGGTAATAAACTGTAGAACTTAATAAATGAAGGTAATAATAACTGTAGAACTTAATAAATGAAGGTAATAATAACTGTAGAACTTAATAAATGAAGGTAATAATAACTGTAGAACTTAATAAATGAAGGTAATAATAACTGTAGAACTTAATAAATGAAGGTAATAATAACTGTAGAACTTAATAAATGAAGGTAATAATAACTGTAGAACTTAATAAATGAAGGTAATAATAACTGTAGAACTTAATAAATGAAGGTAATAATAACTGTAGAACTTAATAAATGAAGGTAATAATAACTGAAGAACTTAATAACTGAAGGTAATAATAACTGTAGAACTTAATAAATGAAGGTAATAATAACTGTAGAACTTAATAAATGAAGGTAATAATAACTGAAGAACTTAATAAACTGAAGGTAATAATAACTGTAGAACTTAATAAATGAAGGTAATAATAACTGTAGAACTTAATAAATGAAGGTAATAATAACTGTAGAACTTAATAATGAAGGTAATAATAACTGTAGAACTTAATAAATGAAGGTAATAATAACTGTAGAACTTAATAAATGAAGGTAATAATAACTGTAGAACTTAATAAATGAAGGTAATAATAACTGTAGAACTTAATAACTGAAGGTAATAATAACTGAAGAACTTAATAACTGAAGGTAATAATAACTGTAGAACTTAATAAATGAAGGTAATAATAACTGTAGAACTTAATAAATGAAGGTAATAATAACTGTAGAACTTAATAAATGAAGGTAATAATAACTGTAGAACTTAATAAATGAAGGTAAATAATAACTGTAGAACTTAATAAATGAAGGTAATAATAACTGTAGAACTTAATAAATGAAGGTAATAATAACTGTAGAACTTAATAAATGAAGGTAATAATAACTGTAGAACTTAATAACTGAAGGTAATAATAAAATGTAGAACTTAATAACTGAAGGTAATAATAACTGAAGAACTTAATAATGAAGGTAATAATAACTGTAGAACTTAATAAATGAAGGTAATAATAACTGTAGAACTTAATAAATGAAGGTAATAATAACTGTAGAACTTAATAAATGAAGGTAATAATAACTGTAGAACTTAATAAATGAAGGTAATAATAACTGTTAGAACTTAAAAATGAAGGTAATAATAACTGTAGAACTTAATAAATGAAGGTAATAATAACTGTAGAACTTAATAAATGAAGGTAATAATAACTGTAGAACTTAATAAATGAAGGTAATAATAACTGTAGAACTTAATAAATGAAGGTAATAATAACTGTAGAACTTAATAAATGAAGGTAATAATAACTGTAGAACTTAATAACTGAAGGTAATAATAACTGTAGAACTTAATAACTGAAGGTAATAATAACTGAAGAACTTAATAACTGAAGGTAATAATAACTGTAGAACTTAATAAATGAAGGTAATAATAACTGTAGAACTTAATAAATGAAGGTAATAATAACTGTAGAACTTAATAACTGAAGGTAATAATAACTGTAGAACTTAATAACTGAAGGTAATAATAACTGTAGGAGAACGGGAGGGGGGGGGAATATGAGACAGGAAAAACATAAATTACAAGACAAATTATTATACGTAAAATTAATATTATAAATTATAAAGAACAAAAAAAGTTCAATTGGACAACACACGAGGACAGAAAAATGTTTTTTAATTGTAAAAAAAAATACCAGTGAAGTTCAACCAGTGACCTGGGATGGTATGTCAACCAGTGACCTGGGATGGTATGTCAACACAGTGACCTGGGATGGTATGTCAACCAGTGACCTGGGATGGTATGTCAACACAGTGACCTGGGATGGTATGTCAACCAGTGACCTGGGATGGTATGTCAACCAGTGACCTGGGATGGTATGTCAACACAGTGACCTGGGATGGTATGTCAACCAGTGACCTGGGATGGTATGTCAACCAGTGACCTGGGATGGTATGTCAACCTGTGACCTGGGATGGTATGTCAACCAGTGACCTGGGATAGTAGGTCAACACAGTGACCTGGGATGGTATGTCAACCTGTGACCTGGGATGGTATGTCAACCTGTGACCTGGGATGGTATGTCAACCAGTGACCTGGGATGGTATGTCAACACAGTGACCTGGGATGGTATGTCAACCAGTGACCTGGGATGGTATGTCAACCAGTGACCTGGGATGGTATGTCAACCTGTGACCTGGGATGGTATGTCAACCAGTGACCTGGGATGGTATGTCAACACAGTGACCTGGGATGGTATGTCAACCAGTGACCTGGGATGGTATGTCAACCAGTGACCTGGGATGGTATGTCAACACAGTGACCTGGGATGGTATGTCAACCAGTGACCTGGGATGGTATGTCAACCAGTGACCTGGGATGGTATGTCAACCTGTGACCTGGGATGGTATGTCAACCAGTGACCTGGGATAGTAGGTCAACACAGTGACCTGGGATGGTATGTCAACCTGTGACCTGGGATGGTATGTCAACCTGTGACCTGGGATGGTATGTCAACCAGTGACCTGGGATGGTATGTCAACACAGTGACCTGGGATGGTATGTCAACCAGTGACCTGGGATGGTATGTCAACCAGTGACCTGGGATGGTATGTCAACCTGTGACCTGGGATGGTATGTCAACCAGAGACCTGGGATGGTATGTCAACACAGTGACCTGGGATGGTATGTCAACCAGTGACCTGGGATGGTATGTCAACCAGTGACCTGGGATGGTATGTCAACACAGTGACCTGGGATGGTATGTCAACCAGTGACCTTGGATGGTATGTCAACCAGTGACCTGGGATGGTATGTCAACCAGTGACCTGGGATGGTATGTCAACACAGTGACCTGGGATGGTATGTCAACACAGTGACCTGGGATGGTGTGTCAACCTGTGACCTGGGATGGTATGTCAACACAGTGACCTGGGATGGTATGTCAACACAGTGACCTGGGATGGTATGTCAACACAGTGACCTGGGATGGTATGTCAACCAGTGACCTGGGATGGTATGTCAACACAGTGACCTGGGATGGTATGTCAACACAGTGACCTGGGATGGTATGTCAACCAGTGACCTGGGATGGTATGTCAACCAGTTGACCTGGGATGGTATGTCAACCAGTGACCTGGGATGGTATGTCAACACAGTGACCTGGGATGGTATGTCAACACAGTGACCTGGGATGGTATGTCAACACAGTGACCTGGGATGGTATGTCAACACAGTGACCTGGGATGGTATGTCAACCAGTGACCTGGGATGGTATGTCAACCAGTGACCTGGGATGGTATGTCAACCAGTGACCTGGGATGGTATGTCAACCAGTGACCTGGGATGGTATGTCAACACAGTGACCTGGGATGGTATGTCAACCAGTGACCTGGGATGGTATGTCAACCAGTGACCTGGGATGGTATGTCAACCAGTGACCTGGGATGGTATGTCAACCAGTGACCTGGGATGGTATGTCAACACAGTGACCTAGGATGGTATGTCAACACAGTGACCTGGGATGGTATGTCAACCAGTGACCTGGGATGGTATGTCAACCAGTGACCTGGGATGGTATGTCAACCAGTGACCTGGGATGGTATGTCAGCGCAGTGACCTGGGATGGTGTGTCAACACAGTGACCTGGGATGGTATGTCAACCAGTGACCTGGGATGGTATGTCAA